TGGGGGAGGGGGGTGGGGATGGGGCTAGGAGAAAAGTGCAACAATGAATGAATGGAAATCCAAAATTTCTGTAAATGTTCACTAAAATTGATTAAAAAAATTATCTGAAACCCTCCCCCAACACCCCCCCCCAAAAACCCCAACCAGATATGGAAACTGAAAGTAATTAACACATTGCCGCATGCATACTTTTAAATTGACGACTGTGCTTAGAAACACATTTTTTTGCCGTCATTTGCAGCAATGTGTTAAAGAAGCTTTTACTGGGGCTCTCGGGCTCTTGGGCAAAGTTCACTGCCCTGGGCTGCAAGCGGAGATTGGGAGGGAAAGAGAGAGAGAGAGAGGGCAAGGGCGAGGGTGAGGGCAAGGGTGAGGTAGAGGAAGAGAAAGAGAGAGGAGGAGGAGAAGGAGGAGAGGGAGGGAGGGAGGGAGGCCAAGCAGGAGAGAGGGGCAGGATGAGTCAGAGAGGTTCACCTGTTGTGTGAAAAGCAACTGGCTTTTAAAAGACTTCTGACAGAGGAAGCAGTCGTTTAGCTGATTGGCTGTAGCTACTGGTGCTGTTGGGGACAGCTGATGAGGTTGCTAAGCAGGAAGTCTCTTGGCAGAGGATATAGTCTTGGAGCCTGCTGATTGATTGGCTGCGGCTTTTGTAAGAAAGGTAGGTTGCCGCCCACCAGTGAGTCAGCCCCATAGGTCTATCATCCTAGCCTTTTTTGGTTATATAGAAGCTACCTATTCTCTCTGGCTGCTTCCTGCTTAGAGACCTCGTCCTGGGGATGGGTGAGAAGGTTGGGAGATATCTCACTGGGCAGCTGGTCATAAAGATGGAGTAACATCTGATTAACTGTTACACGAGAAATTGCACACATGCGAGCTTGCAAAAATTTTAGTAGGCATGGAGCTATTACTAGAAATAAATAGATTATGGACTTATAATTGGGGCTAGCCAAATCATTAACAAAGATTGCTACCACCCTAATTGGATCCTGATGGTGCCTTTCCTTTGTTGTAACTTATCTCGGAGTTGGGTCAGGGTATCTAAATTTTCTTCAACTAGGCATGTTTCATTAATAGAATAACAGCATTGTTCTCTGAGAAACAAGTAGGTTCCCCCTTTGTCTGCTGTCACCAGGTCTAAATCTTGCCTGTTTTGAAGAGTTACCTGGGCCAAAGAGTTAATTTGACATTGGAGGGAGGCTAAAGAGTCAGCAGAAGCATCTATAGCTATTTGTAGTTTGCACTCCAGATTGGCTGAGGCTGTAAAGGAGTAACCTGGACCACCACCACCTAGGCCCTTTGTAACTATAGAGGATGCAAGCTACAACTGGGAGGTATACAGCTCTTTGAGTTCTATGTTGGTTGGCAGGTGTGAGGTGGATGGATAATTCTTTTTGCCCATACATCATAAGCTGAGAACTAAGGCAGCTCCTGCATGGAAAGGGGGAAGACGTTTTGATAATTTTATAGTTTATTATTACACCAAAAGAATCCACCAGGGGGAGCATGTAGAGTTGAAGATATTAATATGGTAATATTGCAAGGGGAAGGTGGTGTGGTACTTGAGACATAACAAAAGAAATAGTTGGAGTCAGGATCTTTCCAAAAGAGGGAAATTTCATTTTGGGGGCAGGGGGAAAGGGTGAGGACTATGAGGGGTTAGGGCCGAATATAAAGAAGATTACTGCTGGAGGATATTTTCTGATAAACAGCTAGCTGTTAGATAACTTCTGGTACTACCCGGGTGTAGACCTGGAAGATCTTGAGGGTAGTTGAGGGGTAGGAATCTCAGTGCCAGTTATATAGTTTAGCTTATACCCCCTATACCAACCTGCTATTCCAAGGATCAAAGATTTTCAGAGATATGGTACTAGGTCCAGATTTACTGAGCACTTGAATATTTTTTAGGTTTGGGTTGGTATCATTCCCAACTAAATGGATCTTACAGGATGAATAAGGACATCAGCCTTAGGTTTCTGGCCATTGTTTACAATAATCATGTATCTTGTCATAAAAGAAACTGCTGGAATCAAGAACTCAAAAGTTAAAGATTTTAAGTACTGGTAGTATTTAAGAGTAATATGAATGGGAGTTCAGCATCCTGGCTTGATAGTTGACTGTCACTGCACAATGGCTGTGGGTGATGGTATTTTTAGTCCAGGTTTTCTGAACATAGAACCTCCACATGTAGGCCACGATTGTACTTGAACTTGTCTAGGGAGGTAAGAGAAGAAAGATGAGAGTGAGGAGAAGAGTCAGTGATAGTTTTAGTGAGCTATACCCGGGTGGGGCCCAGTTGGGTCAATGTCCATTCAGCAGCAGTTTCAGGTTCTTCAGGCGGCCATTTGAGATAGGAAGCACAATGAGTGATCAGGAGCTTGGCTGCAGTTGGAGTTGTTAGGATGACTATATGGGGGCCAGACCAGCGAGGATGAAGGGAACTAGGGTGGAGGTATTTAAGAAAGACTGAGTCACTAGGCTGTAAAGGAGGAGCAGGCATTGAATTGGAGGATGAGGAGGTGCTGCAGTAAGGTGAGGTAGGGTAGATGAGATGCTAGCGGAGGAGGTTCCTGTGGAAAGTTATGGGTTATAAGGAAGGGGCGGCCATAAACAATCTCATGTTCACCCTGAAGGTGAACATGAAGTAGTACATAGGAGAGCTAGAGCCAGGGGAAGTAGTGTAGGCCAGGAGAGCTTTACCTCAAGGCTGAGTTTGGTCAGCTGATCCTTGAGAAGGCCATTAGCCCATTCTGCTTTTCCAGAGGATTGGGGATGGTACGGTATGTGTAGTTTCCAGATGATGCTTAGCGTTGTTGACACTTGCTGAAGAACCTGTGGGACAAAAACTGGGCCATAGGTGGATTGAATATGAATGGGTATGCAAAAGCATAGGAGGATGTGTTCAGTTAAAGTTGATGTGATTACCTCAGCAGTCTTGTGGACAGTGGGGAATGCTTTGATCCATCTTAAAAAAAATGTCTACATGGTTAGTAGGTAAACACCATTTTTTGTGTCTAGGCATGTGAGTGAAGTCAATTGGCCAGTTGAGACAAGGTTCTCATTTGGTGGGTAGAGAACTGGGGCCAGAGGCCACCCTGGGGTGAAACTTTAGAGCAGATGGAACAGCAGAGTGGACAAGTTGTATTTTTTGTGGCGAGAGAAGGGGTAGAATATAAAGGTTGGAGGAAGTGGAGGAGGGCTTTAGGTCTAATATGGAGTGAATTATGGATATTGGTGAGGATAGAGGTAGACTGGGATTCAGGTAGAGCAATTTTATTACCAAGAAAGATGTGATGTGTTCTCCTTTTGCCTGTAAGATGTCAGTTTATGCTAGGGAATAAGTGGGACTGATACCTGGAGTA